GATGCTGGCAAATGAAGGATATAGCGGCAAAGAACAGATATAAAGGTTTAAACTGACCATTTTGGAGCTGTGCTGTGATAATATAAGGCATGCCCTTGTTGGCCTAACTGGGACAGCACTAAATTGGTTCATATCCTATTTCACTAAACGCTCGCAGTTCATTTATTTAGGAGGTCATAGATCGCGGACTGTCCCTCTGTATCACGGTGTCCCCCAGGGTTCGGTACTCGGGCCACTTTTGTTTAGCATTTATATGCTACCTCTTGGAAAAATGTTACAAAAACATGGCATTAATTATCATTGCTATACTGACGACACATAGATTTATATTAGTACATTTTCTAATCTATCTGCCTCACTGTAGACACTTAACGCTTGCTTGGTGGAGATTTAAGCCTGGATGCAACAAAACTGTCTAAAATTAAACAGCTCCAAGACTGAGATTTTACTTATTGGCACACCCTCTAATGTTAATAGATGTGGCAATCTCAAGTTAACAGTCGATGAATCTCTTTTAACTTCTTCTATGCAGGTGCGAAATCTTGGTGTCCTCTTTGATGCTCAGCTTAGCCTGAAACCTCATTTTAAACAGTTAACAAAAACTGCATTTTATCACTTACGCAACATTGCCCGTATCCGTCTTTTTCTCTCAACACCAGATGCTGAAAAGCTTGTCCATGCTTTTATTACGTCTCGTTTAGATTTTTGTAACTCTTTATTTGGGGGTCTGCCAACCAATTCACTTAAGATCTTACAGTATGTTCAAAACTCAGCTGCACGTGTGTTAACCCACACATCATCTCGCTCTCACATTACTCCTGTACTTCAGCAGTTACACTGGTTGCCTGTTAAGTCACGCATCGATTTTAAAACCTTGATTTTAACTTACAAAGCTGTTCATGGTTCTGCACCTGATTATATGTGTGACCTGATATTGACCTCCTCTTCTTCTCGCAATCTACGTTCTGCTTCGGGGCTCACCTTGTATCAGCCCATTGCAAACATAGCAGCATGGGAGGCAGCACATGCCCCTAAATTGTGGTAGGCTCTCCCCACAAATACCTGGACTGTTTTATGAAACTTCTTAAAACTCATCTTTTTATTATTGCTTATAATTTATGAGGCCTTCTGTTAATATGTATATTTTTATCATTATTATCGTTCTGACTTTTTTAGTGTATTTCATGTTCTTCTGTGTCTTGATGCTCTTGTTAGCTCTTTGAGTTTGAGAAAAGCGCAATATAAATAAAATGTATTATTATTATTATTATTATTATTATTATTATTGTTCACTCCAAAAATGAAAGTTTTCTTATCATTTCCTCACACTGTTAAGTGGTTCTTAACACATCGGAATCGACTGGAATAAAAGCAGTCTTTAATTTGTTTTAAAACAATTTTAAGGTCAATGTTATTAGCACAGTGTTCAGTTGTACATTCTAAAACTCGACATTTATAATCCGACATTATCTTCAGCAGGTGAAAACTAATTTAATTCATGCTAATGAGCAGTGAAGGGAATAACAGTGCTATAAGTAAACGGCGCAACTAATGGCGCTACTTTTTCCAGTAACACAAAATAAACTGAGTTACTTTTTCCCCCGTTACAACGCGGTCACCATTACGGACAATGACATGTGCGTTACTATAATTGAGAACACTGAAGCGGTTTTCATATGAGCACGTCTCTCTCTGATACTCTTTGTCTGGGGTTGGTGTGTGTTTGTTTGGGGCTGGGGCCGGACACCTAACCCCAAAGGCAAAGTAGGGCAGGCGTTCACCATAGACAGTAAAAGATATGGACGTAGTATCTGTCATATACCAACCTGGGGATACCAAACAAGGGCAAAGAGGCGGAGCGTGAGCAGAGCTACAGACGCATGCTGGCATTTTGCTTAGACAGGCTTTTCTTTAGGAGAAATGCTCAATACTTCATTACCTGTGACTTGTTTGTGTTCTGACCACATGTCCTTGGTTGTACACTAAATCAATAAAGTGTTTAAACTCGTAAAAAAAACACTGCTGTAATACATTGAGGCACTAAGCATTGTTCTTATGATGCTTTTCAACAGGTGTGAATTACTTTCAAACACTTCAGATATAGTCTGTGTTAGTAAATGCAAGGCTATTGATGAAATCAAGGCATAACACTGACTGTTCTAGAGCCTACAGCTAATCAATCTGATAGATTCTGGAGTGCATTACAGCTCTAAAGAAAAATATAAATGATAAATAGTCTTAAATAAAACAAATATATCTATAGAGATAATATATAAGTATATAATTTCACTCACCTGGGAAATGGAGGCCATGTGAATGGTTTGTGAGCACAATTAAGTGCACACAGCATGTCATATCATCTGATAATTGTAGGAAATAATCCCAAAAGGCAATTGACTGTGTAAAGCCACATAAAACAACACAATAATATGATGAATATGCAGAGTTCAGCAGCTTATCAGCCGGAATAAGCTGAGGTGAAGTGACAGAGACCAGCGAGACTTAGCTGTTACTCAAGTGGCTACTGCCTTAACTATGCAAACTTAATAAAACCTAATATAAAGGATGAGTTATAAAAAAAATTCACCCCCTCAGAGTTGTCATGAAAGGTAATATTAGCTATATGAACCAACATCATTCTTTGTACCAGGCTGTAAACACTTTTTTTCTGCTGTAAAGTTGGTCATTCTAACAGTTGGCTCAATAGAAATTTGCTCCATATGGAGCCAGGACTAGCAGAATTTCCATGAATTGGAGTTTCAGTTACTTCCGTATTGGCTGCCCGAGGGTGAGTGGGAGGTTACCGCTTTGGCGTTCACACACAGGCACACGCACACAATCATTCGCACACACCAATGACCAGGAGTCAAAACAACGGTAAATCCAACGAGTTCAAAGATAGCGTTGGCAAACTGGAAATATAAGCACTACTTTTCCTTAATGAGGTGACATGCAAGAATGTTTCTGTATCGTGTAACATATGTCCAGGAAAAAATAGTCTCTCTGCGTCTGTGACGATTAATTCTAATCCAATGAAGCCCCTCACGTCGTCACATGCTGCCACAAAATTAGTGGCTACACAGATGATAATGTGAGCTCTGCTACCAAAGAAGCTATGACGTCAAAGAGAATAAGACTTGATTTGTCTCCACCGCAAACACTTATTCAGACAGAATTAAACAAAATAATATTTAGATATATAGCCCTGCTGTTTTTCCCCCCAATTTCTGTTTAACGGAGAGATTTTTTTCAACACATTTCTAATTTTATCTTTGCCATGATGACAGTACATAATATTTGACTAGATATTTTTCAAGACACTTCTATACAGCTTAAAGTGACATTTAAAGGTTTAACTAAGTTAATTAGGTTAACTAGGCAGGTTAGGGTAATTAGGCAAGTTATTGTATAACAATGGTTTGTTCTGTAGACTATCTAAAAAAATACAGCTAATAACATTGACCTTAAAATGTTTGTAATGTAATGTAATGTAATGTAAAATGTAATGTAATGTGTATTTATATAGCGCATTTATTGTGTATGGCCATACACCCAAAGCGCTTCACAATCATGAGAGGGGGTCTCTTCACACCACCACCAGTGTGCAGCATCCACTTGGATGATGTGACGGCTGCCACAGGACAACGGCGCCAGTGCGCTCACCAAACACCAGCTATTGGTGGAGAGGAGAGACAGTGATAGAGCCAATTCGGTGGTAGGGGATGATTGTGAGGCCATGATCGTAAGGGCCGATAGAGGGACTTTGGCCAGGACACCGGGATTACACCCCTGCTCTTTCACGAGAAGTGCCATGGGATTTTTAATGACCACAGAGAGTCAGGACCTAGGTTTAACGTCTCATCCGAAAGACGGCGCCCACTGACAGTGTACTCTCCCCTTCACTTTTACTGGGGCATTAGGACTCACACAGACCACAGGTTGAGCGCCCCCTACTGGCCTCACTAATACCACTTCCAACAGCAACCTAGTGTTCCCTAGTGGTCTCCCATCCAGGTACTGACCAGGCTCAGCCCTGCTTAGCTTCAGTGAGTAACCGGTTTTGGGCTGCAGGGTGACATGGCTGTGGTTTGTTTGTTGGTTTGTTTGTTTGTTGTTTTTTGTGTGTTTGTTTTTTTATTAAAAACTGCTTTTATTCTAGGCGAAATAAAACAAATAAGACTTTCTCTAAAAGAAAGAATATTTTCAAACATGCTGTGAACATTTCCTGAATCTGTTAAACATCATTTGGTAAATATTCAAAAGAAAAAAAAGTCAAAGAGGGGCAAATAATTCTGACTTAGTTGAGGACATGCTGCCTTTGTCTCTCACATTGTCCAACAACAACATTAAAATAGTGTAGATTACTGTACTATGGTTTATATTTATTTCGATTTTTTTTTTTAACGCAATAGTTACATGATTACTCACTTTTATAATTATGTAGCTCGGTTACTATTTGTGAGAAGTAACTAATAACTCTTTCAAAGCAACATTACCAAGACCGCTGATGAGATGGTCACTAGTGGGCGGAGCTTTCCCCCCCTGATGACACAAACGAAGGAAGAATGTCAATCAAAGTGTTTCTGCAGACTGTTTTCATCAAGTGTGATTGTAAGAAATCACATTTTTCAAGTAATACATTTTTACCATTAGAGGCTGGTTATATTCACACACTTCTGCACACAACTGTTTAAAAGTGATTTGTTTTCATAATAGGTCCCCTTTAAGAAGGGCTAATCATTTTGACTTGAACTGTATATAAAGTATTGTTAGCCTGAATGACATATTGTAGTGTCTCTTCTGTCAATCATGGAAAAAAGAGAATGAAAAAAAGCAGAAAAAGGTAATACTGCAAAAATAAAAAGGGTCATGTTAGATCAGTAGACAGAGCAGACATGAGTTCTTGTCAGAGAGAAGGAAAGAAAAAAAATATATTTTCAGGCCACAGAAGATGGAGCTGCCAGTGTACTGTATGTGAGTGAACTGTGTGTGTTTCTCAGACAGTTTGGCAGCTCCAGTGAATGTGTCCATCAGGGATCTGAAGAGCAGCTCAGCCGTGGTGACATGGGACACGCCAGACGGAGAGCCAGTCATCGGCTTCGCCATCACACAACAGGTACTGTCCACCACAGGGGGAAAGAAAAGCAACACAATTCTTGAGCTTTTTTCGGGGGACAACTTCATTGTTTACTTTAGTTAAAGTCTAATAAACTAACTTAATTTCTTCATTTACACTACAAAAACTGCTTTTTGTAGATTTTTTTGTCTTGTTTCAAGTGCAAATATCTAAAAATGATTATAGCAAGAAGCATTTTCTAGACAAGCAAAATCACGGTGAGTTTTTCCTTGAAATACGCGAAATAATCTGCCAATGGGATTATGGATTACTTCATTTTTTTAAGGTAAGTAGTTGAACAATTTATATGGGCTGAATTTAAACAAACACATTAGTAATGTTCAGCTTAATTTGTTTAAATTCAGCCCATATAAATACTTTGCAAAACCTTACCTTAAAAATATACAGCTGAAGTCAGAATTATTAGCCCCCCTAAATTATTTTTTATGTTTATGTTTTTATGTTATGTTTATTTTTCCCCAATTTCTGTTTACGGAGAGAAGATTTTTTCAACACATTTCTAAACATAATAGTTTTAATAACTCATTTCTAATAACTGATTTATTTTATCTTTGTCATGATGACAGTAAAATATATTTGACTAGATATTTTTCAAGACACTTCTGTACATTTAAAGCCTGAACTAGGTTAATTAGGCAAGTTATTGTATAATGATGGTTTGTTCTGTAGATTATCGAGAAAAAATATAGCTTAAAGGGGCTAATAATTTTGTCCCTAAAATGGTTTTAAAAAAATTAAAAACTACTTTTATTCTAGCCTGAATAAAACTAATAAGACTGTCTCCAGAAGAAAAAATATTATCAGACATACTGTGAAAATTTCCTTGCTCTGTTAAACATCATTTGGAAAATATATATAGAAAAAAAAAAGAACAAAATTCAAAGGGATAATAATTCTGACTTCAACTGTATATATATAAATCCAACAAATAATTTTTTTTCAGTGTAGACAACCGCAAATAAACTGTGATAATGTGCGAAATGTTGAAGGTGTTTGAATATTGTTGGTTTTGATTGTGTGTAAAATACAATGCATTCATGTAAATACAGTTTTGACTTGTCTTTACCAGAAGAAAGATGTCCGCATGCTGCGCTTTATTCAAGAAGTGAACACCACTACGCGGAGCTGTGCATTGTGGGATCTGGAAGCTGATACGGATTACATTGTGCACGTTCAGTCTATCAGCATCAGCGGGGCAAGTCCTGTTAGTGAAGCTGTGCACTTCAAGACCCCGACAGAAGTTGAAACACAGGCCTCCAAGAACAAAGGTGCTCACAACACACATCTCTCACACCCATCATCTATACACTCACCAGCCAGTTTACTAGGTACAGCGAGCAGCAGTTCTGTGGGGGCAAATGCTTTGTTGATGGCAGAGGTCTGGGGAGAATGGCCAGACAGGTTCCAGCTGATAGAAAGGCAACAGTAACTCAAATAAGCAGTCGTTACAACCAAGATATGCAGAGGAGCGTCTCTGAATACACTACAAGTCCAACCTTAGAGCAGATGGGCAGCAGAAGACCACACCAGGTGCCACTTCTGTCAGCTAAGAACAGCAAACTGAGGCTACAATTCACACAGGCTCACCAAAATTGAACAAGACAAGATTGGAAAAACGTTGCCTTGTCTGATGAGTCTCGATTCCTGTTGCAACATTCGGATGGTCGGGTCAGAATTTGACATCAACAACATGAAAGCATGGATCCGTCCTGCCTTGTATCAACGGTTCAGGCTGGTTTTGGTGGTGTAATGGTGGGGGGTATTTTCTTGGCACACTTTGGGTCCATTAGTACCAATTGAGCATCGTGTCAACGCCACAGCCTACCTGAGTATTGTTGCTGACCATGTCCATCCCTTTATGACCACAGTGTCCCCATCTTCTGATGGCTACTTCCAGCAGGATAACACACCATGTCATACAGCGTGAATCATCTCAAACTGGTTTCTTGAACATGACAATGAGTTCACTGTACTCAAATGGCCTCCACAATCCTCAGATCTCAATCCATTAAAGCACCTTTAGGATGTGGTGGAATGGGAGATTGGCATCATGGATGTGCAGCCGACAAATCTGCAGCAACTGCGTGATGCTATCATGTCAATATAAACCAAAATCGGAGGAATATTTCCAGAATCTCGTTGAATCTATGCCACAAAGGATTAAGGTAGTTCTGAAGGTAAAAGAGGGTCCAACCGAGTACCAACCAGCAAGGTGTACCTAATAAAGTGGCCGGTGAGTGTATATGAACAGTGCTTCTCTATGATGCTTAAAAAGACCCACCTGCAAAGCTACCTGAAAAACTATGGGCAAGTTGTGTAAATGCAAAGTGTGGTTATACCAAATGTTGAATTGATTTAGTCAATATAAGTTAATTGATATATAAAATGTATTTATCCATTATTTTTTAAAAGCATGCTAATTTTACAGCATTTTTACACAAGTGCCAAAAACTGTACATTTGCAAGTTGGTTTTTTGAAGCGTCTTAGAGATGTTTTAAAAAGTTCTTCTGGATTGAGTTTGTATAAATGTCACTGACAGAGTGGATGAACATCAGATTAGATCTCTGTGTGGAGCACTGGCTGTTGGCAGACAACAATCTCACTGTACAATTATGACAAAAATAATGTTGAATTTATACTTCAAACTGACATGCAATAGAAATATCCCACTTTAAACCTTTTTTTTTTTTTTTTTGGTGAAAATTTTAGTGACCTAAGACTAAAATACAATTGAAGTCAGAATTATTAGCCCCCCTGTCTATTTTTTCCCCCAATTTCTGTTTAACAGAGAGATTTTTCAGCAAATTTCTAAACATAGTAGCTTCAATAACTCATTTCTAATAACTGATTTTTTTTTTTATCTTTGCCATTATGACTAAATAATATTTGACTAGATATTTTTCAGGACACTTCTATACAGCTTAAAGTGACATTTAAAGGCTAAACTAGGGTAATTAGGTTAACTAGGCAGGTTAGGGTAATTAGGCAAGTTATTGTTTACTTAAAGAGGCTAATAATTTTAAAATCTTAAAATGGTTAAAAAATGTAAAAATGCTTCTATTCTAGCAGAAATAAAACAAAAAAGACTTTCTCCAGAAGAAAAAAATATTATCAGACGTACTGTGAAAATTTCCTTGCTCTGTTAAACATCATTTGGGAAATATTAAAAAAAAATAAAAATCAACTGTATAATATATATATAGTGCCTTAGTGTCCCACCAATGACGATATACGGCCATATCGCACTGCTACTTGTGTGTTATAGTGTTTATACCACAGTTTGACAGCATTATCGTGTATAGAAAAAAAAAAAATCAAACACAGTCTCAAAAATCCTTCACATCTGCAGCTGACGTCAGAACAGCACAAACCGTTGCTACTTCACAAACATCACTTTAGAGCTAGTATTTGAATGATTCTCTAGTGTAATGTCTAAAGTTAAGACAAAACACATTTGCTCACATTTTAAGATTATAAGGCTGAATGGCATGAAATGCCATCAGTCTGCAGAGATTTCCCAGTATTTCTCTGTTGCAACCGAGAGATCCCAATAATCAACCCTGAAAAAGTCAGAGCAAACCAAAAACTAATAGATGACTGAGCAGATTACTATGGTATAAATACAGCACTACAACACACTAAAGAGAGAGATCGACTTAGAATGTCACTTGCCTGTTCTATAATGATTTGTTTAGCTGTAGTTTAAAACGTACGCTGAAAAAATGCTGTTTTTCTCCTCTGAGCTTATTATGCGTTCTCTGTCGCCATCTTGTGGCAGAATGTCAACCATTTTTGCTCTGCTCTATGACAAGCTAATGGTCGCCAAAGTGCTGAAATTATGAATATTTAAAATAGGCACTATCCTTATAAATAAACTGCATAGTCGCAATTTAAACAACTACATTCTTGCCTAAAAAAGCCTTAAAAGTACATTATGTTGTCCAACAGCTGCATTATTTGTCAAACGTGTCCTCTGCTTGCCACTCATGTGGGTGGAGTATTACAGTGTGAAGTGTGAAGAGGCTGTACAAGTGCTGATATTACTTTAAATATCTCACAGCTATCAGCCAATCAGATTCAAGAACCAGGCATAACTGTTGTATAAATAAATTTCAGTGTTTAGAAGTGCTAGAAGTTGCTGTTTTGTACTGAAAAATGGTGCAATTTTCACACAGAAATTGCTAGTAGGTTTGATAAGAAACTGCAAATACTCCCAAGTGCAGTTAAGACAATGTTTGCCTGTACAGTGTTGGATTTATGCAATTTTGTCACATAAATGTATGTGCATTTCATAATGAACTTAAATATTTTTCAGTCCCTCAAGGTCTAGGATTTTGTCCTAGTCCAAAAGTTCTTGGAACCAGGCCCGGATTGGCTAATCGGGAGGACTGGGAGAAATCCCGGTCCGTTTTTTGGCCGCGAGGGCCAGTGTTTCAAGCTGCTCGCACTCTCAGCAGTCGCACTTTTTTTTCATTTATTTATTTATTTGACCATAGCCCTAATCTTTTTATTCATTATTTTGCCGCAGCTCCGCTCTTCTTATTTATTGTCTCGCAGCCCCATGAGCACAATGCAGACCGTAACTATCATTCCGGCGACATAAGTATAACAAGACCATAGTGGTCCAGTGGACAGCATGTTGTGTTACGATGCCATTGATCCGTGTTCTAACCACACCTGAGTTATTCTTTTTTTTTCTCTTATTTTTATTGTTTAGACATATAAAACTGTACGGTTGTTGATCATTTTAAGTTCTAAGGCAGCTTTTTTTTCTTGAAAAAGACGTGATTGTGTAATTAGAAACTGAATTGGAAATGACCTTATTTTAATATAGTCAGTCGTGAACTGAGGTGGGCTGGTCTAAGGCTTGAAACTCCAGGGTTGAAAAGGAGTCCCACTCCGGCCCTGCTTGGAACAAAAAAAAAATTTGACAGGATTTTTGTGTATTTTCACATCAAAACACAAAAAAAGTGTAAGCAAAGACTACCGTACGTTTAGAGGAAAGCAGTCACAGCAGTGTTTTGGTGGTGGTGGGGCTGGAGGTTGCATTACAAAATGATTTGATTTTATTTTATGGAGGGACAGATTTTCAGCTATTACATTAGTCATTTTTTTAAATAAATAAAAAGATTTTTTGTACTTAAAAATTGTCAAAGATGTGCTTGCTTTCACTTCTCTGACCAATGATTAACAAATAATTAATGAATCTTGAGATTAGTTCAGACAGAAGATCGTCTTTAAGATTAATTAGATTGATTAAGGGTGCATCTCACCCCTATCAATCAATAATCTGTGATTAGCTCTGCTTTTAATTAACCCATCTTTGTAAATGGACACTGTAAAATCTCAAAGAGGCCTCTGATCTGATCTGATAGCATTAAGGCTCTTTAAATCACTTAAAAATCTTTACAGTTTTAGGAATTGTTTATATACATATACACTGCATATGACCTTGGAGCACAAAACCAGGTTTACTGTATGTTGCACAGGTATGTTTATTGGAATAACCAAAAGTACGTTATGAGTCAAAATGTTTTATTTTAATTTTATATAAAAAAATAATTAGAATATTAAGTAGGGATCATCTTTCATAATATATACACTTACCGGCCACTTTATTTGGTACATCTTACTAGTACCTGGTTGGACCCCATTTTGCCTTCAGAACTGCCTTAATCCTTTTGTGGCAAAGATTGAACAAGGTACTGGAAATATTCCTCAGAAATTTTGCTCCATATTGACATGATAGCATCACGCAGTTGCTGCAGATTTGACAGCTGCACATTCAGGATGCCAATCTCCCGTTTCACCACATCACAAAGGTGCTCTATTGGATTTAGATCTGCTGACTGTGGAGGCTATTTGAGTACAGTGAACTCATTGTCATGTTCAAGAAACCAGTCTGAGATGATTTACGCTTTATGACATGGTGTGATATCCTGCTAGAAGTAGCCTTTAGTAGATGGATATACTGTGGTCATAAAGGGATGGACATGGTCAGCAACAATACTCAGGTAGGCTGTGGCGTTGACACGATGCTCAATTGGTACTAATGGGCCCAAAGTGTGCCAAGATAATATCCACCACACCATTACACCACCACCAGCCTAAATCGTTGATACAAGGCAGGACGGATCCATGCTTTCATGTTGTTGACACCAAATTCTGACATTACAATCTGAATGTCACAGCAGAAATAAAGACTCTCATTATACCAGGCAACATTTCTTCAATCTTCTATTGTCCAATTTTGCTAAGCCAGTGCTATTTGTAGCGTTAGTTTCCTTTTCTTAGCTGACAGGAGTGGCACCCAGTGTGGTGTTCTGCTGCTGTAGCCCATCTGCCTCAATGTTAAGCATGTTGTGCTTTCAGAGATGCTCTTTTGCAGACCTCGATTGTAACAAGTAGTTACTTGAGTTACTGTTGTCTTTCTATCAGCTGGAACCTGTCTGGCCATTCTCCTCTGACAGCAACAAGGTATTTGCGCCCACAAATTCGCAGCCCATCACTGGATATTTTCTCTTTTTCAGACCGTTCTCTGTAAACCCTAGAGATGGTTGTGCATGAAAATCCCAGTAGATCAGCAGTGTCTGGCACCAACAATCATGCCACGTTCAAAGTCACTTAAATCCCGTTTCTTCGCCATTCTGATGCTCAACTTGACCATGCCTGCATGCCTAAATGCTTTGAGTTGCTGCCATGTGATTGGCTGATGGGAAATTTGCATTGACGAGCAGTTGTACAGGTGTACCTGATAAAGTGGCCATTGAGGATGGAGATCAGTTATACCTCAGACAAATATATAGCCAACCCTAACAAACCATACATCAATTAAAATTGTAGTCATTCAGCTTTCAGATAATGCATAAATCTGTATAAATGTTTGAGTCCCTTATGACTTGGTTTGTGGTACATATTCAAACACACACACACATACACACACACACTTAGGGTCTTTATCAGTATTCAGTGTGTGACGTATACCTGTAATATAGTGTCTGTATCTCTGACAGACGAGGTGACGATGGAGGAGGTCGGGCCGAACGCTCAGCTCAGGGCCGGAGAGTTCATCATCATCGTGGTGGTCCTCATTATGTGGGCAGGTGAGCATTAGTACAGGAGACCACATCTGCTTGTAATCAGATTACAGCTACTTACAGCTTATTATTAGCCATCACATTTACATTGTCATTTTGTCCAAAGCGACTTACAATTGAAGAGGCATTCCACAGTCACAAGTCCCACAGTAAAATGAATGGGCCACACATAAATGGCGTTACAACATACGCTGTTCGCGCACACAACAACACACAAACATGCATAGGCGTTTAACATGTTGTACAGTTTTTGCTCATCTCCTCATGGAAAATGTGACAGGATTAACAGCAAATAGGTAAACATGCTGCTGTATTAAGATCCATAATAGCCAAATTACTGTACAAAATAAACCTGATTTAACATCCACTAACCAGAACTCCTGTTGTGTGGTTGAAGCAATGTCCTTTATAGTTGTGTACACTAGGCAGCTGTGCTGATTACAGTGGCTATGAATTGCATAGCTCAAAAAGTAGAGTTTAAAATGCTGTAAAAAAAAGGTCTAAGGGTGCTTTCACACCTGCTTCATTTCGTTCGATTGAATCGCACTAGAGTTTGTTTTCCCTTTTGGTGCGGTTCGTTAGGGCAGATGAGAATGCAGCAATTGTACTCGAGTGCGCAACAAATAAGCGTACCGACACCTGCTTGAAGAGGTGGTCTCGGTACGCTTTCAAACAAACCCTGGAGCGGTTCGTTTGTGGTGAGAATATGATCCGTAACAGGTCCAACCTCAAAAAGTACTGCGCCTTTTGGACTAATCCAGCTGCCGTAGGCCGATGCCCTCTGCATTATTGGATATGGAGGAAAAATATTTGTTGACAGCGCTTCACCAACATAGAGAGAGAGAGGGGAGTTTAGCTAAATTAATTCATGCTTCCTCCTGAAGTGATGTGCGATGCATTAAAACACTGTTTTTCAGCCGCAGTAGCGCTTCATTCTCGAAATGTACAGTTTGTCTAAAGCAGGCATACAATCCATCAGCGCAGTCGTCCCTCCAGAGTAAAAACGACATTTTGTTTTGTTTACTTTCGGAGGTTTATTGGCATTTTCCCGTACGTGAATTCTAACCAATCAATAAGCAGTGTAGGAAATATGTTCAACAACATCTGGCCAATGAGAGATGTGGATTTTGTCAGATGACTGCATTTTGGTTTGTTCCAACTGGTTCGGACCAAAGGCAGCAGTGTGGTGTGAAAACGACCCAGAGACGGCAGAAAATGCAACAATGTATCATTTATTGCCCTTGGTCCGGACCAAATGAAGCGAACTACAGATGTGAAGGCACCCTAAGTGTATGACTTACTTTACACACATGTGTAACCCCGCCAGTCCTACGCCACCCAACCCACTCCGAGCTGGTATCGAACCAGCGACCTTACGCATGGGAGTCGGTTGCTCCACCAAGGAGGCTAAAGACCAGGGCCTCTAACATGGGTCGCTAGCGCACCTTTAGAGGTCAGAGGAGTGAGTTTACCTGCACAGCACTCACTAGCTGGCCTCCGTTACACTCACCCCCCTAAACCTCACTCTCATCCGGGTAACTGCACCAATGTAACCCCGCCAGTCCTACACCTCCCAACCGGCTCTGAGCTGGGATCGAGCCGGCGACCTTCCGCATGGGAGTCGGGTGCTCTACCAAGGAGGCTAAAGACCATAGCCTCTAGTGTCTGTCGCTAGAGCACCTTTAGAGGTCAGAGGAGTGAGGTTTACCTGCACAGCACACACTAGCTGGCCTCCGTTACACTCACCCCCCTAAACCTCACTACCATCCGGGTCACGGCACCAATGTAACCCCGCCAGTCCTATGCCACCCAACCCGCTCTGAGCTGGTATCGAACCGGCGATTTTCTGCATGGGAGTCTGTTGCTCTAACATGAGGCTAAAGACCATGGCCTCTAGCATCGGTCGCTAGAGCACCTTTAGAGGTCAGAGGAATGAGGTTTACCTGCACAGCACTTACTAGCTGGCCTCCGTTACACATGCTGGATAACAGAGAGTTGGAACAGGTCTTTTAATCTGAGTTTCTCTGCAAATCCTGTCTTGTGGACATGATTATATGCATTAATACGGAGCATGTTAATACGCACCTGTCAAAAAATATAGGTGCCCAGGGAAAACAGCAAGTCATGTTGGGCCTCAAAATTGCTGGGATTCGGATCCTATTTTAACATTACACATTTTTAAAAAGAGATGTGCTGTGTTTATATCACTCCAATATGACTGTGGACACACATTTCCTTCTAAACAGCTTGCAAAAGATGATTCTGCATGATAAAGATATATTTGGATGGATGGATGGATGGATCTTAAACCATGTTGTGCTGTTATGAACACCACTGCAAATACATTGAATCTACACTGAATCTACAGTGTTTGTGTGTGTGTTTCAGGTGTGATCGCACTATTCTGCCGTCAGTATGACATCATTAAAGACAACGAACCAAACAATAACAAGGATAAAGCCAAGAACTCGTCTGAATGCAGCACTCCAGAGCACACGTCAGGTGGCCTGCTGCGCAGTAAGGTATAACCAGCAGTCCAGACCACACTATACACAGGTGAATCGACTCCACCACACTTTACTGACATCACACTTCATTTCACATCACTATATACACATCCTCATTTATTCAGACAATGATCCTTATTAATAATATGTGAAGTGGCTTCCGGGTCCAAGCGCTCTATCAAACTGTATGAGGAGACTCAAAAATGGTAATAATAAACATTTACAATACATTTGAAAAGTCATGATTACAATATATATATATATATATATATATATATATATATATATATATATATATATATATATATATATATATATAAGGGCTGCGTCCAAAATTGCCTATTACTCACTAGATACTCCCATTTGTATTTAAACGTACTACTAGACTGTACGACCTACACAGTATGAATGAAAATCGGATGTTCAACGTCCACCATTTTGTCATCATCACGTGACTCACCCGCGTCAGTTGAGTCGCTTCATTCCTATCAAAGAGCTTAGAATGACCAAGAGGCGACACTCAATAGAACATTTCGTTGCAACAGCAGCGCCCAGCAGCAGCCCTGGATTCCGCCATTTTGGAGTGAAAGCGATCGGCTGTCCATTGGATTTCCTTACTGTCGCGATGGCAAGCAGCTGCTTTGTTTTTTGTTTATTTATTTAAAAAGGCCATTAAAGCTGAGATACTACCTGAAAGACGACAATACAACACTTACTATCACAATCATCAGCACTTTTAATAGTTTATTTTACAGACTTATAATATGCTGTTGTTCTATTGGAGTTTTCATTCCAAAATGACCGCCGCACCCTCTAGTGTAATTTGGGAACCAGCCACTAGAGTGTCACCTCTTGGTCATTCTAAGCTCTTTTAAAGCTCTTTCTAAGCTCTCTTCTAAGCTCCCATTCATGAATTATCTCGCGGTGCATCATGGGATAGTGTAGCGTGCATTAGATGCACACTTCAGAATCTTGCCGGAAGTAGTAGGTCATCCAAGTACTTCTGGCTCACTGATTTTCGAATTCTATGAATTCAGTCAAACTTCTTGACTCGCAAACTGTATTTAGCGCATTATATAGTATGGAAGTAAGCCATTTCGGACGCAGCCTTGGTGTCTGTGATGCAGCAAGTCCAGAGACTGTTCTGTACACCATGATGTTATGATGTTAAAATTCACTTTAATGTGTGACATGACTAAAAAAAGGTCATAAACAAATATTTTCTCAATTCAAATGAGTAGCGGCTTGTGCCTGAAAAATAGATTTTATACATCACAACATCCCAACCCCTTTGAGGGTCTCTGCACTGGCTTGGTCAGAATTATAAGCCCTCCTAAATTATTAGCCGACCTGTATATTTAGACTTTTTCAACACATTTTTAAACATAATAGTATTAATAACTCATTCCTTATAAGTGATTTATTTTATCTTTGCCATGATGATAGTAAATATTATTTGATTATTTATTTTTCAAGAAACTAGTATTCAGCTGAACCCTTTCACTGCCTGTTCCACCAAATGGTTGACCATGTTTTGACTGTTTTGAATAATGGTTTACACAAACAGCAAACTTCAAAAAATAAATATGATTTATATTCAAAACTGTTTTATTTTGAATACGTTTTAAAATAAATTGGTCTTAACCTTCTTTTTTTTTCATAGTATATGGATTAAATCCGGCACTTTTACCATAAACTGACATATCTACCATTTGGCAGAGGTTGATATTTTAGAAATTATGGGATGATTACCCCCAAATAATCCACTGAGTGTGTTAACTAGTGACATTAGGAGTTAAGAAATCCAATCCATTTTTTCCCCCTTGTAGAACAGTTAAAGGGTTATAGTGACATTAAAAGGGTTAAATACGTTAATTAGGCAAATTATGGTAATTGGGCAAGTTTGTAATTTTCTTATTTGTTTTATTTCGGCTAGAACAAAAGCAGTTTTAATAAAAAATAAATAAAAAACATTTTAGGGTCAAAATTATTAGCCCCTTTGAGCTATATATTTTTTTCTCGATAATCTACAGAACAAACCATCATTATACAATAACTTGCCTAATTACCCTAACCTGCCTAGTTAACCTAATTAACCTAGTTAAGCCTTTAAAATGTCACTTTAAGCTGTATAGAAGTGTCTAGAAAAATATCTAGTAAAATATTATGTGCTGTCATCATGGCAAAGATAAAATAAATCAGTTATTAGAGATGATTTATTAAAACAATAAGGTTTAGAAAATGTGTTGGAAAAATCTCCTCTCTGTTAAACAGAAATTAGGGAAAAAACAGGGGGGCGGATAATTCTGACTTCAACTATATATTGCATAAGTGGGCTAATAATATTGAAAAAATAATTAAAATTGCTCTTATTGTAGCCGAAACAAAACAAATAAGACTTTCTCCAGAAGAAAAAATATTATAGGAAAAACTGTGAAAAATCCCTTGCTCTATTAAACATCATTTGGGAAATATTTGAAAGAGAAAATTCACAGGGGGACTAATAATGTTGACTTTAACTGTACACATCTTTCATTTCTTCATTCCTCAGCCCTTCACAGCTCATTAAGTCGCCCTCAAGTCTTTGGCTAACATTATATACATCTGCTTTCACTCTCCACAGACCTCCAACATCAACAACAACAACAACCGATCGCCATCTGTCAACATTATCAAAGTGTGAATCTGCATTTACCACACCGGCCGAATGTGCAAAAACAAGCAGAAAGCAGGAATTCTGGACATTTCCTGAAGAAAGCTGGAATAATCCTGCGAGAGTCTGAAACCGGCTCTGGGGGTCTGAAGATAAGAGGAAATCTGTGAAGAAATGCACGGAGTGTGGGGAAAAAAAGGACCCTTTTTATGGCTTTACAAAGAAGTGGTGTCGGCAAGAAGATCCGCATTTAAAAGCCTGTCTTTTACACTTGAAAACTCTTGAGCTTTGCTCCTTTATCTGGTTTAATCTTTTACGCTGTTTGCAATGGCATGATGCACATTCTCAATGACGGTTTTTATAGTCAAGTAAATCTGCAGCGATTTACTGAAGGAATTAACCTATTAGTTTTTATAAATTTAAGTAGATTGAACTTAAAACAATTAAGTTGTTCCAACAAAACCATCAAGAATTGTGTTGTTTCAGCTTCATTTAAATAATTAGTTTGAACAAGCAGCAAACATTTTTTACAGTGCAGTGTATATTTAAAACAAGCAAATAAATAATAATGAGAAAGAACTATTAGATGTGTTGACAGATTTTCCAAACCCAACGGCATAATATAGCATCCTCCAAGGCATCATCAAGAGTATCTTTTCCCAAACTTTAAAGCCGAACGTTTTTATTCAAGCTTCTTGCTCCCGCTCAGGGAAGGAAGTGTTCATCCGGAGAATAGAGGCGCTTTATTTTGGACTGTTCAACTGATTTGACTGAGAGATGAAAGAATGCTGTGGAATAATGTTAGTGACAGCTTGGGTTTCAGCACACTGGAGAAATTTTACTTCTGCTTCTCATTGTGTGGTGTTGTTGTTTTCACAGGCACAGAATCTAGCACACGAAACCAGCCGTGCTAGCAAAGATTTGCTTAGGTATATACACTCACCGGCCACTTTATTAGGTACACCTGTCCAACTGCTCGTTAATGCAAATTCCTAATCAGCCAATCACATGGCAGCAACTCAATGCATTTAGGCATGCAGGCATGGTCAAGACGAGCATCAGAATGGAGAAGAAAGGGGATTCAAGTGACTTTGAAAGTGGCATGATTGTTGTCAACAGGCTTGACGAAGTATTTCAGAAACTGCTGATCTACTGGGATTTTCACACACAACCATCTATTAGGTTTAAAAAGAATGGTCTGAAAAAAGAAAACATCAAGTGAAAGGCAGCTCTGTGGGCGCAAATGCTGAATGCCAGAGGTCAGAGGAGAATGGCCAGACTGGTTTTAGCTGATAGAAAGCAGCAGAAGACCACACCGGGTGTCACTCCTGTCAGCTAAAAACAGGAAACTGAGGCTACAATTGGCACAGGCTCACCAAAATCAAACAACAGGATTGGAAACACGTTGCCTGGTCTGATGAGTCTGGATTTCCACAGCGACATTCGGATGGTAGGGTCCAACCTAGTACTAGTAAGGTGTACCTAATAAAGTGGCCGGTGAGTGTAGGCTGAAACAAGAGATTTAAAACAAATGCTATGAGTTAGAGTGAATAGACATTTCTTTTACTATGTACAGCAACAAACTACAATGCACTTATTGATTTACTACCAAGCTGATCGCATGGACTAAATTAAACACAATATCGGTAATATTTCACAAGGTTGACATTAGTAAGAATCCTCAGAACTTCAACAGCATTTTTTGATTAATGATAATCTCTATTTGTTATTTTAATAATAAAAAGTGGTATATCTCAAAATTAGCTAATGCACTGTGAACTAACATTAATGTGAAATTGTATTATTGTTATTATTAACTAATGCAAGGTTAATAAATGCTCAATAAATGAGGTTAACTAAACTATTTTACTATTTAAAAAGCACTTAAAAAGGTTATACAGGGACTTAAAATAAGAGAGCTGGGTGTTGAACCTGAACTAAACTATAAAAATAAATGTAAAAGAACAGTTTTCTGTAGTTTGTGATTCAAGTTTTTATTTTTCCCCCATTTATTTGTGCTTTTTAATAGAATTATAGGATCTTGATCTTTCTACCAACAACTTTTAACCATGAAAAGTAAAAAAAAGGGACTTTTATTGACATTTTTAATAGTTTAAAGTGATATATTGTATGGAATGGTGTTATATTATGCTATACAAACCTTGTAAAAAAAAAACTCAGTATATTTTCTGGCATTTTACAGGCTTATTTCTCTATTTATTATTTCTTATACATTATTTCAAATGACCAAAATGTCAATAAAAGTTAGCAGAGCAGAGATCAAGGTCCCATAATGCAATTCACAACCGTAAATAAATGGAAAACCCTTGAGAATCACAAAATTCAGACACTGTTAATTAACAGATTTTGTTTACAGTGCGATTCAATCCCCTAAAACAAACCAGACACTCTAATGTTAGGAAAATGTGTTTGATTATGATATAATCCGACATAAAAATCAACGATGCAGTTTCCTTAAACTCCCATTTGAAAAAAAAAAACAGTAGCTTGCTTTTGGATATAAAACTGCATTGAAACCAGCTCAAACACCTTCATTACTAAAAATGCCTGACGCATTTATTACTTCAAGATGTTTTAACGCTACGATCATATTCCAGTTGCATTGTAAATATTTCCTTATATATAAAGCGTTTTCTTTAATAAAGGGACTATAGTAGGGCTGAGTTTGTTAAATGTTCTGAAGGGCTTTTCACATCCTGGTTTATTGGTAACTTTTACAGTTACACAGTTTAACGTTTTACAGTTGACGAATCTGAAACGGTGTTGTTAAACCTGCATCTAAGAGTTTAAAGTCTGTGTGAACAAGGGGTGGATGAATCAATCCTAATACTGATAGTATCAATATCAAAGTACACAGTGCATTCAGTGCATCTGGAAAGTATTCATAGTGCTTCACTTTTTCCACATTTTTAATGTTAAAGCCTTATTCCAAAATTGATTTCAATTCTTTTATATCCTCAAAATTCTACACACAAAACCCCATAATGACAATGTGAAAAAATAGTTTTTGAAATTTTTGCAAATTTATTAAACATAAAAAAGCAGAAAAATCACATGTACATCAGTATTCACAGGCTTTGCCGTGAAGCTCTAAATTGAGCTCAGGTACATTTTGTTTCCACTGATCATTCTTGAGATGTTTCAGCAGCTTAATTAGAGTTCAGCTGTGGTCAATTTAGTTGATTGGACATGATTTGAAAAGGCATACACCTGTCTATATAAGGTCCCAGGGTTGACAGTGCATGTCAAAGCACAAACCAAGCATGAAGACAAAGGAATTGTCTGTAGACCTCCGAGACAGGATTGTGTCAAGGCACAAAGCTGGGGAGGGTTACAGAAAAATTCCTGCTGCACTGAAAGTTTCATCTAGCACAGTGGCCTCCATCATCCGTAAGTGAAGATGTTTGGAACCACCAGAACTCTTGGTCAGGTCACTCTGTCTGAGCTCCAGCATATTTCTGTAGAGAGAGGAGAACCTAGAAGAACAACCATCTGTGCTGTATGGTAGAGTGGCCAGACTGAAGCCACTTCCCACCTGGAGTTTGCCAAAAGGCATCTGAAGGACTCTCAGACCATAAGAAACTAAATTCTCTGGTTTGATGAGGCTAAAATTGAACTCTTTGGAGGGAATGCCAGACGTTACCTTTGGAGAACCAGGCACCACTCATCACCAGGCTAATATCATCTCTACAGTGAAGCATGGTGGTGGCAGCATCATGCTGTGGGGATGTTTTTCAGCAGCAGGATCTGGAAGACTAGTCAGGATAGAGGGAAAGATGAATGCAGCAATGTACAGAGACATCCTGAATGAAAACCTGCTGCAGAGTGCTCTTGACCTCTTTTTCACATTGTCATTATGGGGTTTGTGTGTAGAATTGTGAAGAAATAAATGAATTGAATCAATTTTAGAATAAGGCTGTAAAATAAAAAATGTGGAAAAAGTGAAGCGCTATGAATCTTTCCAGATGCACTGTAAAACAATTAAGTTAACCCTCAAGAATTGTGTTGATTCAGCTTGTTATAAATAAGTAGTTTGAACAAGCAGCAAAAATATTTTTTGATTGTAGATATTAGTATTGAATTGATACAAGCCTAATAGGATGATCGGTGCTTTAGTGCATGTTATAATCAATGCTAATGTACAATACATCTCTTTAATCACGGTATGTGTGTCTGCAAATGCTTCTTTCAGATCTTATTCGCTGCTTTATTGCGAGACTAATGAAAGAGTAATAGAAGTAAGAGATTTTTTTATTTTTTTTTTTACATTTGTATATTTTAAAACATTTGTTCTCCGGTGCAAGTTTTGTGATGTTATTGCTTTAAAAACTCATTTAAACAGACAGAAGTATTAAACTACATTTTTTAAATTACATTTTTTTTAAAAAAAGTATCGGCATTAGTATCAGCGATACCGGCCCTGTATTTACTTGGTATCGGATCGATACTTTTTTGCAGTATCATCCATAAACTATGAACTAATGTTAACTAAACTATTTCAATATTTGTAAAGCGCTTAAAAGGTTATACAGGGACTTAAAATAAGCGAGCTGGATATTAAACCTGAACTACACTATAAAAATAAATGTAAATGAGCAGTTTTCTGTATTTGGTGATTCAAGTTTTTATTTTTCCCCCATTTATTTGTGCTTTTCAAATGCATTGTGGGACCTTAAGCATTCTACCAACAACTTTTAACCATGACAAGTCGGAAAAAGGGACTTTTATTGACATTTTAAATAGTTTAAAGTGATATATTGTCTGAGTTTAAAGTGATATATTGTCTGGGATGGTGTATTATCATGATACAAAGGCATGAACGTTGAAAGTGAAACCAAAAGTTGCTGAGACTTTTATTTCAGTATGTTGATGTACATACAACCTAAACTGAAAATTAAGTAGGGGGCGGGGCTTTCATTTTGCACATCATTCCCTTATAGCAGACTAATGGTATGAGAGGCGTGGTTAAAAATATTTTGGTTGAAACCGTCAAACTGACATCAACAGAAGGACCCCCTCTAAACACAGAAGCAAATGTGGTGTGTACTTATATGACCATCCACCCAAATCGCTTCACAATCCACTTGGATGATGCAATGACATCCACAGTGGAGAGACTGTGATAGAGCAAATTCGGTGGATGGGGATGATTGGGAGGCCATGATGGGTAAGGGCCGATGAAGGGAATTTGGTCAGGACACTGGGGTTACACCCCTACACTTTACAAAATAGGATTTTTAATGAACACAGAGAGTCAGGATTTCATCTCATCTGAAAGATGGCATTCACTGACAGGTGTCCCTTGACTATACTGGGGCATTAGGACTCATGCAGACCCCAGGTTGAGCGCCCCCTGCTGGCCTTACTAACACCAACAGCAGCCTAGTTTTCCCATGTGGTCTCCCATCCAGGTACTGACCAGGCTCAGCC